TAGTTATTTGGACATTGTATTTAATCATGCTCTATCCTGGCAACATCATTGCAAGGCAATACTTCTGAAAGCAAAATCTACTATGATGGCCTTGCTTCAATATTTTTATTCAAAAGGAGGGAGATTTGTTCCTGCAGCAATACAGATTTTTAATGCAAAAATTGCATCTCAAATTTTATATGTAATCCAGCAATTTGGATTACATTTGCCAATAATATCATAGCCCAACTGCAGGTGAAATATTTAAGACCTCTTTTAAGTGTTCCAAGTTGAGTTCCAAACTGTTATTCTCTGGAAACTGGGCAATGCCCTTTGAAAACAAAGGCTTGGCTAAACCTATTATGTTTTGGTTGCAAATATATGTTTTTAAAAACAAGAAAGGATTGCTTCATGAAATCCCAAATGAATCTTTTGTAAATACATGGTTTAAACAGGTGACCCAAAAGATTAGTCAGATTGGCATTGATCCTGATGATTTATTTCCCAGGGGTATGACAGCAGTATATCATTGTATTAAACAAAGATTATGGAATAATTCAGTACAGGAATTAATTGCTAAAGCCAAAGTTCCAAGTTCACCTATAACTTTTGGAATTAATTACAGATAAACCTTTCAGCTCCCTATATATCTTAATAGTTTATATTTAAGTAAATACAGTATAGTCTTTTCAAAAGCCAGATTAAATATATTGCCATCAGATAAGCTATATGGTAGATTTCAAAAAATCCTCATCTCTCAAAGATTTCGTCTCTGTTATGGTATTGATCTTGAAACGGTGGATCATATTTTATTGTATTATGAATTTTATAAGAATCTTGGTAGGATGTTATCTGGCCTATGTATAAAATCAAGACCAGGAAGAGATACTTCTGAGTATGTTAAAATGTTACGTTCAGATGAAAATCCTAAAATTACAGAGGCAACAGACAGATTTTTAACTAAGGTTATAAAAACAAGGTCTTTAGCAACACATCAACAAGTTGTGGTTTAAAGTGTTTTATGTAATATTTATCAAATACTTCATTTGTTAAATATTTTTATCTAATGCCAAATTTTAGATTATATTTGTAACTTGCTATTTGGGCCTTCTGGCCATAAATAATAATAAATAACAACAACAACAACAACATTTTATACCAGTCCATACTAAGGCTTACTTTCCCACCAGGTTCACAATAGGTTTGTTATTATAAATTATCTATCTATCTATCTATCTATCTATCTATCTATCTATCTATCTATCTATCTATATTTGTATG